AAATTGAACAGGTGTTCCTAATAATCCTTTAGGTGAGTGTATAATTATATATATAATTCAGGTCATTATTTCTTTTTTTCCAAGACTTCACTTTTGCTTGCACTTCTCTTAGAATGCCCCTTAAACTGGTTCAGAACATGAATGAAGGCAACAAATTGAACAGACTGCAAACTGAAATAAATAATAAGTAATAATAAATAAATAATATAAAAATAAACTTGTTTATTGAGTCGCATGACACTATAAAACGCTGACAGCACGGTTTGTCGCGGGTTGTTTTTCTCTGACTCCAGGGCATGGGTTTGACATCACTGGTAGAGTTATCACCCAAGCCGTCACTTTCGTCACAAACACTTGGAACTTCCTCTGAGAGCACTGTGCTCTTATCTCTACGCTTATCTCTTCCACGATATTACCAAAGCAAGTGCATGTGCCGTGCGCCGCTAACTCAGTAAACCTTGCTGTCCATTTCTTTGGCATAGGTTGTCTGTTCATAAAAGATTACTTTATGATTGGTTGCATTCATTTCTGTAATGTGATAGGCTGATGCATGCTATCAAGCAGTGCCCTTTATGGACAATTTATAGAAGTTTCTCATTTTCTTACCGTTTAAATTTTAGATGACTATAAGTCGGAATATCGTTTACAGCCCTATACCCTCAGTAAATTTCACCAACTGGGGAATTTTCCCAGACAGAGATCAGTTTGCATCCATGTAGTGACCCATTATGGACTGAACCGTGTTTTTTTGTCAGGGTTCCACGGCCCTCTACAGGCCGCCCCCATCCCGCTACTGGACTGCAGACCAGTGGTCTAGAAACACGGGTCTAAACTGCTTCTTGAGGGCATTGCAATGAGCCTAACTTGCACGGGTTGTCGCCTTGTCCCTGCAGAGTGCGATGACCTGCCACTGTCAGTGAGCAAAACCGACATGGCCACAATTGTGAAGGTGATGCAGCTTCCCGACTCGGGGCTGGAGATCCGAGACAGAATGTGGCTGAAAATCACCATAGCCAATGCTGTCATTGGTAAGGATGCGGAAAAGTCCAGAAACTGACACAGATTTAAGATCAGAAAGTAAAGCAGGGGTTACCTTAAGAATATCAGTGGTGTTCATAGGGATGTAGTAACTATTTGAATATTAGTATTATTTGTTTAAATTTTCTTTTATTTGTCAATCTTTTTCCCTGTTCTTCAATTATTCTGTATAAATCTTGATGGAAAGGCACACTCACGTAAAGCTCCTTCTTTTGCTATGTAAAAATGAATTGAATTGAATAGTATGGTAGTAGGGTGTACTACTGTAGTATTAATAGGGCAATTGTAGTACTGCATCATTACAGTATTTCTGTATTAATTGTATAGTTCTTGGTAGGTTATTACAATGGTAGCATCCGTAGCACAATGAAAAATGACGAGGCCTGAGCTCCAGTATCTCTGTCAGGTGCTGATGTTGTGGACTGGCTATACTCAAGAGTGGAGGGCTTCAAGGACCGCAGAGACGCCAGGAAGTACGCTAGCAGCCTGCTGAAACACGGCTACCTGAGGCACACCGTCAACAAGATCACCTTCTCCGAGCAGTGCTACTATACCTTCGGGGACCTTTGCCAAAGTACTGCCGCTGTTACGTCTGTACGAGGCCTAATCCTGGGCAATGATCAGACGTGGCAGAAGAATGACTGACTCTCTGTGCTTCCCTCAGACATGGCGGCCCTCAATCTGAACGAGAGCTCCAGTGGAGGGGGCTCTGAGCAGGACACCCTAGCGCCGCTTCCCCCGCCAGCCGCCAATCCGTGGCCAATGGGAGGGCAGCCGTTCCCATACCCACCGTTCCCCGCAGCGCCCCCTACCTTTCCCCCGGGGTACTCTGACCCCTGCCACAGTTTCCACAGTGGCAGCGCCGGAAGTCAACACAGTGAGGGTGAGTAATGGGTATGTTGAGTGGAACTGGCCAAGTAAGATTTCAGTAGTCAGTTCTGAGATGTGTGGATTGTATGAAATGGAAAAACAAGTTTCTATCTCAGCTTTAATTTTAAAAATGGTTTGTCGCTGGCACCTTTTTAGGTGTTTCTGACTCAGAACTGCATTCCTGCCAAGTCTCAATGTTGAGAGGGTCTTGGGGCTGCAAAATGTCTTCGTCACCACCTGGCAGATTTGCTAAAAAAAATGGCAGTAGATTTGGTGGGCAAATAGAGACAAGTTGGGCTTTTTTCCAGTTTTGGACAGCACAGAAATGAAACTGTGTGTATAGTACATCTATCTTCTAGTTACGTATCATGATCAGGATCTTGGGGTGTGTGTAGTACATTGAAATTTCATTGTTACCCATTGAGATTATCATGTTGCTTCTTAGGTCTTGAAAAGGATATTTTAAATATGCACTTCGAAATGTAAAATTCCTCTGTATGTAACTAAATAGCCAAGGCAAGATGGATGCACAGTGACATACATATCTATTACAGATGACAAGATACAATTTTTCTGGTCTGATCCCAATATAAAAAGTTTGAGTATCTGCTGGTACCAATACAAATCTGATATCCCCCCATCAACTACTAAGCATTACATGAGATATTTGTCTCAGTACATTTCAGTTAACATGGCAAATGATCTGCATTTAATGTTTGCCTAAGCTAAGGATTAAGGTCTCAAAGGTTGAGGTCACTCTAACAAGACCTTCGCCGCTACACTACAGGAAGAATTCCATGACCAACATGATTTACACAAATCTGGTTCTTTGTTTTATTCAGTAACACCTTTCACATAAATGAACAGAAATATTTCTTAAAGTGGACTTGTGCAAATTAAATATAATAAAGAAACCAATCATAAAAATATCACTCCCTGGGTTACGATGGTTAATGTTACGATATTTTGGCTTCACGATGGGTAAATGTTTTTCACATTCAGTACATTTTTCAGTAAATAACATGAGATATTCAACACTTTTTTTTATAAAATAGGCTTCGTGTTAATGATTTTGCTAAATGTAGGCTAGGCCAGGCTATGATGTTTGTTAGGTTAGGTGTACTGTCTTAAAATGCATTTTTACCTTACGATATTTTTGGCTCACGATAAGTTTACCAGAACATAACACCATTGTAACCTGGGGCTGTATAACCCAAAAAAATAATTCTAGTCCAAAGGTACACATTACTTTCCAGTACAAACTATACGATGGAGCACAGATAAAACTTTTAAGTAGTAATTGACCAAACTATAGAAAGAATACAAGTCTGATGATGTCTAGTTTGTATAAATGTTACCGTGTTCTGCAGTTTTACTTTTTTCTTCCTTCAGCGTACAGACCCTCTTGACATTTGAGAAGGTTAGGGAAGGAAGACCCCCACAAATGTGAAAATGGTAGTTGATTTGCCCCCCCCACCAACATCAACCTGTAACAGTCTGCTAGACTGAACAATTACATAAACTCTATGTATTAGCAATTTATAAATAAACAGAACTGTACTGTACACTGACACTGCATGTCAAATGATCTACTCCTATCAAGACCATTTTATATTATATACAAAACAATTTTGCCCCTATATATACAAAGCAACTAATGCACACAATGGGAGCGCTATTTTTTTGGATTCTTTTAAAAATGCAAAATTAACGGCAAAACTGAAAATTTAAAAAGTTACTATGATTCCAAGATTCCAATGTCACAATGACAGCTAAGAGGCAAGTGAGGCTGGCTGCAGAGACGAAGATGCACGGTGGACCCAAGCCATCACTTGATACTAACATTTTATTCAGTTTTATCTGATCCAGATCATTTTCGGTTTGATTTTAGCTTATGCATTGCAGTCTTTCGACAAGCTCCAAAAATATTCCCGTTTTATTGTTCACGGTCAATTCGCGAATAACCAAAACCGTGAAGGTGAAAAGCAGATGCATCAAGGTGAAGGAGTTAGGGTATTTCCACACAGTTGCCATGACAGCCCTGACACGCATGTGTTGCTGAACAACTAGCCATCATGTGACCCTCACTTCTGTTTACAAGCATTTGCACGTGTTTTGAGGGTCGTTGTATTTCTGATGAAAAATTGTATCTGTTTCTTACTCCCCCCCCCCCCCCCATATCCGATTCAGCATATTTTTTGCAGGTATCGGTCCGATATAGGTAGTGGGTATCGGATCGATGCCACCTCTAATATTTGTTTAAACAAAACGAAAACTGAAAGTAAGTTAAAATGTTGCCCGGTTAGTTTCTTAGTTCGTAATACATTTGTCCTTAAACTGAGTTGTCATTTTTGTAACTAGATTATTTAGTTATTCATCCTTTAACTTGCCGTTTTTAAGTATAGTTTATTTCTTTGTAACGATCACCATTAGAAACTCATTGCTAACACCAGCTGCTTTTTCCTCTGTTGCTCCCCTTTAGCTGTGAATTTACTAGCGATGTCTTCAGCAGTTCAAACATGGCGGCGTTGTGTAGTTTGCAGTATAAAATGTACTGAAACACACAGGGTTGTTTTTTTTTGTTTTTTTTTTTTGAAAACTGGCCTAAATTACTACTGACATGCAACAATATAATATGGGCATCAGAAAAATCACAGCAGCAAAGGTCAAACGTTTGAATGCTGCACTTCTGTTATATTAATTATTAAACGTAGCGTTACAGGATTTTTGCCCATTTAAAGGGTCTTTTAAAGCTGCCAGGTCGTAGTATATCCCCGATGCTTTTGTGAATGGATTGGCAGGTGTGCAGTCCCTGAGTTCTCACTCTGTGGTGGTTTGGCAACAAAAGGCGGCTGTGCTGGTGTGGGGTTGGTGTGGTCACAATGCCACAGTTCTTCATGGTAAAAAAGTGCCTGTGTGTCTACATTACACTCCATACATTTCAGAAAGCTTGGGATATTGGTATCCCGCTCTGTGTTAACATTCGTCCCTACCATGCAACACCCAGATCTTTCTTCCTGTTTAATAATTGTTTTTGTTTTTTTTCGTCTCCACCAATCTAAATCCAGCCTTTGGCCGTAATGCTTACTCCAGTCCAGTCTGTTCAGTGATGTATGCTGACTTGACCTGCATGTTTTGGGAAAGCTATCCCATCCCTGTCCAGCACTCCTGTTGGATCATGACATTCCATAACTGTGATTTCAGTGTTTCCGAGTTTATGCAGTGGCGGCATGCAAGTGTTGTGCACGAAGGTGACGGCTCACAGATTTGTTTAAATGGAAAAGTGAGCCAAGTAGCTAAGTCACGGGAGCACAGAGAAGTTAGGGGCCTCTTCAGACCACCATGTCAGTTACTGGATTCCACAAGGAGTACCTTCCAAAAGAATATGAGTACAACCAGTGAGTTATGTTATGATATACTGATGTCATTTCCTTTCATCAAGTACACAACAGCAAACTTGTGTACATTCAGCCTGATATCACCTTTGTTACGGCCCACATCATGTCCAGAGGTGGTGCCAGGAAATGAAGCAAGCAGGGCAGACCATGATTTAGAGCTGCGTGATGTCACATCATGGTATAACTGCAATTATATGGCACGTGCGCAATAACCCTCAGGGTTTTCGATGGCGGGTGTGAACATTTGTCTTTTCAGTGCTGTACACCTGAAATATTAATGAGAGATGTACTGTGACACCCAAAAGTTAGTATTCTGTAAAACTGATTTGTTATATCATTATGTTTATTAAATTTGGTTAGCGGAGCACGCCAAATACTACTGTTTTGGAAGCGATAAGCACTGTAGTCGTGTTGAAGAAAGGGACAGCTCCACAATCACAACATTTTTTTAAAAGAGGAGACAAGTAAACAAGGGGGTAAACAAGGTAAAGGACAACAGCGTTGTGGTGGTACATTTTGCAGTTTGAAGTCCGACACATTTATTGAACATAAGTATACACCAAATTTATACAGAATACTTTAGGGCGTCACAATACACCTCTCATTAATATTTCAGCCGTACTACAAATCTTCTTACCAAATTGTGGATGTAAGTAAATGTCCGTATAGTACTGAAAAGCCGACTTCCGATCAAATATTTACAGCCGTGATCTAAAGCCCCGATGATTATTGAGCATGCACCATACAATCTTAATGCGATATCACGCAACCCTACCGTGATTCACAGCTGGTCATTGGATGCCACCCTTTGCACAGTATTAAGATATCACTGTGCATTTTAACACTAATATACATATTACTGCAAAAGTCTATGTTAAAAAGTGTAAATTGTATAAAAAGCTGAATAATATTTAATGGTATACGTAATAATTTACATAATAATTTATAATGATATGTTATGTTGAAACAGTTCTTAACTACCTAATTATTATCAGTTAACTTTACAAGCACAGTTTTTAAACCAGTTACATTTAGTTGGCAGGATTCAGATCCTGTGACGGATTTCACCATAGGGAGTTTAACCAGTGCTGCTCCTATATTCTGCTCTATAAATGAGTTCAAGCCTGAATGTCACTTAGGATTAATGTAGCTGGGGTCATGTGGCTGCTTTTAAACCTGTTTTCCAGTCAGAGTTGTCCCTGCAGTGGCATTTCAGTAACAGGGGACCTGATCTGAGCAGCATCAAGCATCACTGTGATTAGGGTTAGGGTTAGGGTTAGGGTTAGAATCTTCCAGTCCCTCCGGTAAAGCTGGTTAACCTTTCTGACCTGCAGGACAGGGTCTTCAAATGTCCATTTTAAAATACATGTTAGCTATGCCATTTGTCAGCCATTTCTTGTCACAGCTGTTAGTCAAACAGTAGTATTTAAATTCAGCATAATATGAAATAAAATTAAATGAAAAATGTGTTATCCATTAAAGAACATTTATAAATGGGAGAAATAAAACAAGTGTCCAATTTTGTAATTAATTATGTCATAGTCTTAACTATTAAATAATTATTTTAATCATACCGTATGCAACTAAAGTTATAAACAATTTTAGTTGTATTTCTGAAATGGGTCTTGCGTGTGCAGATTGAAGCATCAGTCCCAGGCAATTGTACGCTATGGCTGGGCACACCTGTATGTGCCTGAAGAGCGCAGGTCTAAAGTGCAAACCTGTGGGGAATCGCAAATGTGTCAGACTGCAAGTTACAATAGACCCCACTGTTGGAAGGTGGCCTCATCTCTGATGTATTGTCTTTCCTGGAAGCCTAGCTGCTTCTTTTCATTTAGCTGATCAACTTGGGGCGGGGGGAAGTCTGGCATTCCCCAGGAGCAAGACAACCTTGACTGTATATTGTGGGGGGGGGGTTCTGATTCATTAGCTGGAAATCTGAAGAAATAATGACAAACATATGCAAATAACAAACACTATCTTTGTTAAATGGAGAACGTAAATTTTTGAGATAACTGGGAAAGTACAAGGTATCGTGTGTGAACGGCATTTTTTTTCTGGACTTTCCTGTCAGCTATGTCCCACGTGCACAGAGCCCATTGCACATGCACTGATTGCCCAAGGCTCTCTTCTTCGTCTGTCTCATCCATATGGGGGCTTCCTTGTGGCTTGTTGGATTCAGTCGTGCTGCCACACGGATGTGCCTTGCTGGCGATCGTTAGCACAGCGTGCCTTTGGGTGATTCTGGGTGCCTGACCGGTAACTGACGATCATCTGATCTGATGCCTCTTATCTACAGTGTCCCTGAAGGGCCAGAGTACCTCAACATTAACACAATGCAAAAACATTAACGCAACGCAAAGACATTAAGACGACGCAAAAACATCAAGACAAAACATTAAACAAATCTAATTTTAATGTTCTCTTAATGTGTTTTGTTCTCCTAATGTGTTGTTTTCTTAATGTGTTGTGGTTTTCGAAATGGAAGCACTCCATGCCACAGGGGGCAGTATTCAACGCACTGATCAAGGTTGTGCAGTATTCAGCTAGAGAATACGAGACGGACTATTAGGGCTGGGTGGTACCTGGGTGGCATGTTGATATATTTTCAGAATGAGATATAGGACGAAACAATACTGTTTATATCAACTTGTCAGGCATTAAAATTAGGGTTCTATTAAAGTTTTTAAATAGAGACCTAAATTACCCCTTCCTGGTTCAAAGCAACGCGAAAGCTTTGGTCATGATGTTCCACTGAATTTCAGAATCACAGCTACAATCAAACCAGGATGCGTTTCACAAGAGTTCCCATTAGCAACTTACATAGCTGGACTAATTCAGTTGCATGGTTCCAACTATGTAAGTTGCTAACGTAATTAGCATGTCGCTAACGTAGTTAGCATGTTCCTTCATGTTAGCGCGACACATTAGGAGAACACATGTGAGGTACCAGCCTTATTAAAGTAATGTGTGGGCTTCCGTCCTTGTTTGCAAATATACAGCTATTCACTATAGACATTTTCTTTACTCCGAACACAACTCTCAAAATAAATTCAAGAATCAGTGTATGCTAATATCTGTTTAATGGGTTTAAAAAAAGTAGCCATGACAGAAAAGTGATTCAGTCAACTATGTCCACCAACAGACTCATTTTTGTCTGTTTATGACACTGCTCTCAATCTAATTCTAAATCCCATTTAACATGAGTAAGTGTTTTCTGAATTTGTTACCTGTGGACACTAATCAGCTACCATAGATATCGGTGTCAGAGAGAGCTGAATACTGCCCGCTGTGGCATGGCGCACTTCTGTTTTGAAAACTGCAATGCATTAAGAAAGCACATTTAAAAATTTTATTTGCTTAATTTTTTATCCTTATGTTTTGTGCCTTCGTAATGTTTTTCCGTTGTGTTGATGTTGACGTGATCTGGACTTTCAGGGCTGCCGTACTTAACTGATCTAGCGCCCCGAAGCTTCTGCTTGCAATGCCTGCACCTCCATGCTTTCATCTGATTCGCTTCCACGCAGCAGCACATTTTCACCCGTGTCCTCTCACTCTCTGTCTCTCTCTCTCACCCCCTCATGCACACTCCTCTGCACGTGGGGGAAACACCGCATCATCAGCACTGTGGAATCCGCCGATGAGCAACCGCCATCAGTGCTGGCCACCGTGAATGTCATGTGTCACCGGCGGTGTCGCGTTGCATGCGTGTCTGTGTGTGACGGGGGAACGCCGGAGTGGGTGACAAAGCGCACCAAAGACGTCGTTCCTCCGCCCTCGCTACGGTTTCTCCTCCCCACAGCAACCACAAGACTGCCTCCCCACACACATCCGCCCCCGGCTGACACCCCCACACTTCCTCTCCTTTGCCACGAGGCTGGCGGGGAGGTACAGAGGGGGCCCACTTCGTTTGTAACCCTGTTGTTCCCTCTGTTTTTGCTGGGCATCGATAGACTGAAGGAGATGGTAATCCCAGGACTCGGGATTCGGTAAGCCAGTCAACACCCCACCCACCACCTTACATTCTCTCATTTTTTTCTCTCTTTTTCTGTCCTCCCCCCACACTTCATCCCTTAATCTCCATTGCTTTCTACTTTAACCAACACTCTCTCTTGTCACCCCTCCCCATCCCCCAGGCCCCCTAACTACTGGCTGTGCATCTGTCCCCTCTCTGTGTGTCTCCAAGCATTCGGTGGCGTGCTCCTGTGCTGACAGTAACCTTCTACATACCGGCTCACCTCCGAGCTGAGCGGCATACATGAGGGAGGGCTCTCACTGGGTGCTGCGTTATATGGATGTGAAGCAGTGGCTTTGTGTGATGGGCAGCTCCAGCTGTGAGCAGCATGTGTGCTAGTGGCTATTTATTCTGTGTGAACTGGGCGGCTAAGACTCGATTGTGATGATTCCTGTTCAGTTCATCCTCATATTGTACGAATAGGAATTATATAATGTTATAAGTCAGTTTTGTTCCCGTTCTCGTGGCATGTCAGAAATAGGGGAAACTTCAGCAGAGGTGCTGATGTATTTTGTTATGGCTGAATGGGTCTTGGGGATAGAGGCACCTGAAATGTAACGTTTTCATGCTTCTGTACCCATAGGTGTGTTTGGTATGTCGGCACCAAAGCCCAGGCCCTGCACACTGTTCTTCAAGCCCCTGTTTCTCTCTCGCCTTGCAGGCAGCAGAAGCAGCGGCTCCAACCCCACCACGGGCAAAGGCCGGCGTGCCTCACCCCGGGAGAAGGACCGCAAGTCGACGGGCAGCGGGGGCAGCGAGTCGGAGCGAGTCACCCGGGGGGGCTGGCAGGGTGAACGCTCAGCCAGCCAGCTTAGCCACGCCCACTCTGGGTACAGCCACGCCCACTCACACCGGAGCCACGCCCACCCATCAAACACCCACACCCCGTTCTCATATACCCACGCTCCATTCGTCCAATATAGCCAGCTCTCCTGCACCCATAGCGAGCGGAGCCACGCCTCCTCCTATGGCCCTCCTGGGCTGCCACCCCCTTACAGCTTGGCCCGGCTGGCCCCTGGCTCCTCAGCAGGCAGTAGTCCCCCAGGGGCCCCACCCGTGCGCGAGCTTGGGGCTGTTCCCCCTGAACTCACCGCCAGTCGTCAGTCCTTCCAGCATGCCATGGGCAACCCTTGCGAGTTCTTTGTTGACATCATGTGACAGGACAGTGCCTTTTTAAACCCCCCACCCCACTACAGCACAATTTGGTAGGGTTGCCATCCCTTTGGTCGCTAGGGCCCGACTGATATGAAAATACTGATACAAATTAATTGGCCGATATAATTTTGTAATTAAAAAATTTAAACAGACACCAATAGTCCTGAACAGTTATTTTTCTCACTGATATGGATGTTAAATTCTCAAACTCAAATAAACAGCATATAGTCACAGTCAATATAAATATAAAATAAGCCCTTTATAAGAAACATTTTATATTAGCACCTAACACGATATATATATATGTTCACACACAAAAATGACTTCTTGCCCTAGAGTCTTTGTGTGATATGTCACAGCAATTTTTCCCGTGTCATTTGATCGCCAACAACACTTTGGCCAAACTAACTAATAATACAGGCTTAGTTAAAATGCAGAAAGTACAGAGTGACAGCCCATTTTCTCATAACAAATGTTTAAAGAGACATTAGGAATCCTGATGCATTTTCAGAACCTAAATATCGGCTGATTTTATTGGCCACCTGATATATCGGTCGAGCCCTAGTGACAGTACCCCACTACATGTATGAGCGATGAGACGTTAGACAGACACTGTTACCCCTCGGTCATCCTGATTTTACTTTAAGTGTATGCTTTAACCAAGGACAACTATTGCATGATAGCGCAACAATGAAGGTTTTTCTATATGAAAAGTTCACAGTGGCCATCCACCGACTTAGCTGATGTGGCTAACTCACATTAAATGTAAATCCTCGCTCTGATGACCCCTGCATTCTCTCGGTCTGGAGCTCATTGCCCCGAGCCGGAGGGCTGGAACGCGGACTCTGTGTGAGCCGTGATGGTGACCTCAAAGTGCTCGGCCTGCAGGATGAGCCGGGGGCCTTTTGATGAATGGGCAGTAAGTCTAAAGCTTCTACTTTGCATTCATAGAGGACTAACCGTGCGCCTGCCAGTCTGTAGACAGCAGCCAAGCTTCCTCCTAACAACACTAACTGAACTTCACACTTTCTCTTCTTGTCCTGTTGCGTTTGAGAGTTATAATTTACGTGTCCAGCATTATAACTCAGACAGACAATCAATTTCCGGGGGGGGGGGGGGGGGGGGTCAGCAGTGATCGGAGCACAGCCGCACCCATCAAAGGCGCACACCGATGCCAGGCTACCACCCCCCTCAACCCCTACCTCCCTTAATAGAATGTATCGAAGAAATTCAAATAAAACACGCAATTTTGGATCACTTTGTAGCACAAAAAGCGCTGCCTCAAATTTGTCTGTTACTCCGATGCATCCTTGCCGACATTAATTTTGTTCTCGGCCAGATGTCAGGCGACTCAGGCAGGTCACAATCCTGCATGCGGAGCTGATGTGATGCACGTGTGCTACATGTCAGCAGCTGTAGGCTGTAGCAGGCCAGGTTGGATGTCTCTGCTGATGGACACCCTTCCACAACCCCTGAGTGGCACGTCTGAAAGCTGTGTGAATCTAAATTGTGGCCATTTGAGCCTTCAGCCACGAGACCCACAATAAACACATTCAGCTGAAACGGTGATATTAAGCAACACTGCATGCAGCACAAACTTAAATATTCTTAAAGTAAATTGATCATTTCTCCTTCCCAGACCCTATGGAAAAGCAACGTGGCACTCTAAATTATATATAAATTATATGAGCACTTTTTAAATGTGATTTTCTGGCCCTTTAGTATGAAACACTGTTTGCAGTCTGAAATTTCACTTGCTTTTGTTTCTTAAAAACTGAAAATAAATAACAAAATGTATATATGAATATATATTATATATATGACAAATTGATATATATATATGTTTAAAGATATGGTCTTGCAGTTTTTTAAACTGATGCATTGTAAATTAATGCAATGGAAATGGTGTTTGAATATAGGTGAATTATGATTGTGGTTTTGAAATAATTTTGTCACTTAAAATTTTGTTTAAAAAAACTAATTTGTTCTGCATTCTCTCATTTCTAATTATTCTTTATTCAAAGAATAAAGGACATGAAATATATATGGTGAAGGCTCTTGAAGTACTATTTAAATATTGTGAGAAATGTCGCCGCCTAGTGATAAACATTCACGTACACGGCACTCTTCATAAATTAGTCATTTATTTCTTGGTCTTTCCATCAGAAGCCACAATGGAAAAAGTTATTATAGAAACGGTGTGAAATGACACGCAATAGGCCTACCTTGTCTTTGATATTTAACTGTATGACTTAAAAACGACATTCAGTTTCCACTAACTTGACCACTATTTACATAAAATAGAATTTTTGTAGTAGTCTATATATGTTCATATATTTCAAAAACAAAGGCAATGTTTAAAGTGGATTTATAAAAATACTTTTCATATTTTTCGAAAAGCTTATCCACAGTGTCAGTTCACAAATCCAGTGAAATAATAAAATTACTTACAGGGCGAGAAGGTCCGAATGTGTGCTAATCATAAAACAAATAACACTGATAAGTAAACATTTTTAATAGTCTTTAATAGTGCATCTATAGATAGCTCGTTTTGGCAACACTTGTTGGGGTCCAATATCCACCGATTGCGGCGGCGTCGGTGAAACAGCGATGGATCTAGGGGGTTCCGGGCTCGTCGAAGCCATTGCGGCAGCCAGTTAAGCGTCCATCGTACATAAAAAGACTGTCCACCAGAATGCACTGCACTGCTTTAAGAGAATGAAATTGATTACTGCTTCCCCAAAGCGTTTGCATACCATACACGCTGTTTAAACAATAACTTTATTTATATAGAGTGTAATCTAAATATCGCTATCGAATATATTAGTATCTTATTTTATCTTTTTTTTTTTTTTTTTTTTTACCTTTTCGGAGATTTTGTATTAGAGAAATTAATTAAATCAATGATTAAGAGTGAGAATAAAATAAAAAAAAACATCTCAGACAAGGAAAAAACTCAGCCAGATGTATTTTTTGCGGCATAGAAAGATTTGCATTTAGCTGAAACATGCCCCACTCATCTGACTCATCATAGAGCGAACATACGCAGGAATGTACACCGAGGAAGGTGGCTTTACAAACTTTACAAGAAATTGTGTTCAGGTAAAAACCAGGTTTCAGCATGACTGTGGGCTTAATCCGGATAAACCCAGCAAACATGAGACGGCCGCTAGACGAGTAAAGGGGCGTATGTCGATACCGCGTCGATTGGTCCAGAACCATATCTGGTATGTCTGCATGACGTGCAAATCTGATTCGGTATTTGCACGTCTGACTACGACCCCTCTTGGACGAAAGTGTGCAGTTACATATCTGAACGTCTGGATAACAGATTTATCGGACGTCTATAGACATGCGAGACAGGTACAGGACCCGATACTGAACGTAGTGAAGACGTCGAACAATGACGTCATAAAAAGACGTCATAAAAACCTTCATTCTGACTCCTCAGGAGACGTCTTTTCAACTTCCGACAAGAGGTTCAGAATACGTATCATATGCGTATCTTAGGTGAGAGGATGAAGGTACTCACTCGCGCAGCCTGAAGGTGGCATCGACATCTCACACATCCTTTTTTCGTTTAGCTATGTGTGTATTTGCGGTTGATATATTTCCCTACTTGTGGCTTTTTATAGTCAGTAATATCGAAATGCCTCAGCCTCAGCGCATGACATTCACCTGAACGTATGCAGAAACGTAACTACCGGAGAACAGCACAATGAATGACAATATATAAAAGTTAAAAAGGAGAACACAAAATTTCCCGCGATGACTCTGCACTACGTACATTGCATTGTAATATTTATGATTTGTAACATTGTAGTATTGGCGATTTTAATTTTATCCGGCAAAACTCTAACTTTAATTATGACTTTAATTATGACGAGTAGCAGCATTTCAAAATCGGTATCAGTGTTTTCAAAAAGGCCTTACATCCTCGTTGAATAACAGTAGGCTATGTGAACTTGGGGAATTAATGGGCCCTACGTGAAGACAAATGTTGTATCATTTGTTTTCGTTTCCATATTGCTTATTTCATTTGACTGGCATCCCGTCCACCGTGTGATGCATTCTTGTGCTCTGTGCCCCATTTTTTAAACCATATGGTCTTGAGTCACGTTGCAGTGTGATTAACAGCTGAGCATTAAGGTCAAACAGGACAAAAAAAAAGAAATAACATAAGTTTCCGTTCCAGCTGAGAAAAGGTAAATTTAGCTTTAAGACTGAAAGCCAGACATTATAAACGCATTGTCATCGAGAGCACGTGAGATCACAATGACCTTATTGTCTCTTCTGACACACAGTCACGGTACCTTTAAAAGACAGGATATTTATAGACGCAAAATTAATAATAATAATAATAATAATGAAAACAGTTGTGTGATACAGTAGGTTAATATATAAATATATTTAAATTAATTATACTACTATTTATGAAACAGTTATTTCATTACATAAAGTAGATTCCAGTAAGGGACCCCGACTTAAACAATAACAAAAGTTAACTGGAACTGCATCTAGACCACCCACTACAAGTCTGACTGCACTAACAAGCCTGCACGTACGTTGTTATTTTAACACTTTCTCTTCACACTACTTAAACAAAAAATCCTCTCTCTCATTAGAAACAACAGCCGACGATACACACTCATTAAATGTCAGGAAGCTTGTAGGAAAGTCCCTTAAACCAACGCTAGCAAGCCTAATTAACATTTTATATGCACTCAGCATTCAGTTATCGTCGAGTGTGTCATTATTCCGTAATCTTTCTAAGACGGGGTAACCGGACAATGAGCACGTAAACTGTAACTCTTCCCCCTGCTGTAGGCGTCCAGTAAAATGAATGAAAGTAAGTTAAGGGACAGAATTACGCAGTTTGCGCAATGTCCATTAACAGAAACTTTCTTCGAGGGTTTATCAGGGGCTTTCAAAATGAGCAAGAAGATATTACAAAAGTTACGATAAATATCTGGCTGTGGCATCGCAAGGGGTAGGAGCCCAAATGTCGTCATAGACCCTCCCCCCACCTTTATGCCACCCACGGTCGAAAGCTGCCTACCAGGGAACACTGGTGCCCACCCAACGTACCTAAATGCTAACCCAGGGTTACGGATCCCAAGACCTCCCGTTAGCAACTCACGTAGTTGGAACTGTTCGATCACGTGGTTCCAACTCGATCGGCACGGTTGCTAACGTTATTAGTGACTTTGCGTTTTGGGAAACGCACCTGCATCCTACGGAGCCCTGGAAAGGACAAGAAGGGAAAAAAATCAATGGATTGGAAAAAAAGATGGACTTTCGCGAGATCTCACAATGTTTTTCCATTAGTATTAATAACTGTACTGCTTAAAGTACAAAAGATAAAATTAATGAACTAATAAGTATAAACCTAAACGATATAGACATATCCAATAAAGTGTGGGACTATTATGCATATTTATCGATAATAGCGCTGTGTCCATTCACCACCAGTGACTGTAAGCAAGACAGCTGGCAAGTGCGCACACAGACATTGAAATTAAAATTCACCCTTAAAGAAATCTGAAAAACCAATGGGTGTTTCTTGCTTTTGCTGTTAGATATTACAGGCGGAAAACTGAATATAAAACTAACTTTACCGTACTAAATTTACCACATACATCATCAAGAGAGAATACCAGGGAGCTAAACCCGAAATTGGCTTCGGGTTTAAACCGTAACTATATGACACCATGGTATGGCCAAACTGACCTGCAGATTGGGTTGTTTACTGTTTAAATCCATTATACTCAGAGTGTAGTTGTTATTGTTTTATAATTTAAAGGAAACTAGATATCTTAACCATCGCTGCTTAAATCAAAGGTCATCAGTCTTTTAAAATACATCAGAGCAATTTTAAATTTCCATCTACCCTCAACGATTTGTCATCAAGTCTTGAGAGCGAGTGCGCAGTCAGCGTTCTGCTGGTGACGCGGTTCGTCCATCAAACACCGAATACATGCTCTATAGTTTCGATGGGAAACTGTCTAACCGTATTGGTATTATCGGACTCATTTGTAGGGTTTGTGCTCTGTTATGGGGTATGGCCAGAATCTTAGGGAATCCGGAGCCCAAAGGGTTAAAAAAAAAAAAATCGAGAGCGTGGTTGTTAAACCAAAGCATATGGTCATGGTACCGCCCCCTATTACGTACGTAATAGTTTATAATGAAGCGAAAATGGAACGCGCGACGTAGTTTGGCACTGAATTGATCTGCTGGAATATGAAGTACGTTAGCGGATTACTCAAAGAGGAGAAGACCCACTGACTGGTATTTAATCTCTACGGTTGCCGGCTCAAACGCTTAGTATGCGATTGTTGTGTATTGCAGATATCGTTCATTTGTCTCCGAAATTATGTGTTTATGTTTTAATACAGCCGTGGAAAAAGTTGAGACAGCACAATTTACAGTTTTTCAATTTACTCATTTCTCAATTTATGAGTATGCGTGTGTGAACCTAGTTCTTCCCTGTTTCTCATTGATGAAGAGATTCTATCCTTGCTTTATGAGTCTTAAGTCCTGCTTCTAGGAGTCTGATACGAACTGTCCTAGCAGTGCACCTCACACCTGTACTTAATGTTTCCCATTTCTTTTGGAGGTCTCTTGGTGTCATCCTACGATTCATGAGGTACTATCGAATAAAAAGTAAAAGTATAAAGTGATCTCTCATTTTTTTTCCATGGCTGTACATATGCACTTTGGTTTGCTATAAGAATGCAGCTTCAAAGCCTTGTAAAATGACATTTTACATTCAAGGGTATTAGGTTTTTAAATAGGCCTGTAGGTGTACATTGGTCCATAAATTACTGATATTTGAACAGACTAATATGTATCAACGAAATTATATAATGTGTATGTAGTAGTGTAATAGTTTTTATACACAACAACAAATTAAATTGGGATTCAATGTTTCAAACCTTGGAGTTAATGCAAAGTTATGTATGTCTAAATATCTAAATTAATGTTTGTTTTATAGCAATGTAAATTAACTTGGTAACTTAACTATTTATGGTAAAGCATTGATCCACCCTGATGTCTCTATAAAACATGGGTGACAATACAGGAAACTGAAACGATATATTTAGTTGGGGAGTGTTATTTCAGGGTCATGCTCAAACCATCCTGTTTCTCTGCAGCCTGTGGTACTGAACAGAGTGTAATAGCAACACAGACCACAGAGCATCTTTTCTTAGGTGGAGGTGTTGCCATTGAAGACGTCATTCGCTTTGTGGCCAAGGCTGTTGGAGCAGTCATGCTGCACACGGTCACCATCACCCTCGTCCTTGCCGCTGTGTGCACTTTAAGCAACAGCAGTTGTGATCGCTGGACATTTGCTGAAAACAGCAGTGATGTTTGCTGTGAGATATGCTCAGAAGGTAGGCATCTATATGAGACATCCTATTCTTATGATCCATGAAAAATGTAAGCTGAACGTGTCCAGTGACTTTTATGCACCCTGTTGGCTTCACCATTCTCAAGTCAGCAGATTCTAATGATTCACACATGCTGATCTCACACACTAGTGAGTGACTTTTAGATGTTTCAGAATTTCCCTTAATATAATCAGAAGATGCTAATGTGTTGGGATAAAGTTGGATACTTTACTTGTGAGGACACAAGTACATTAATAATTCAGTTACTACTTCGGTGCAAATCATGAACGAATATAACAACCGTATGAAATGCATGAACTGTTATGTTTGATTAATGATGAATGAACATGGGATCAGTACCTAACTAACAGTTAATTTCTGGTTAATTAATACATGAAGAGTGTACTAATACCTTATCAGTGTCCCCTCAAGTGAAGTGTTATCGAAAGTTGTCATTGTAAAACATACCTCTAGTCACTAAACATGTGATACTCATTTTTTTAAATACATCATTAAAGGGGCGTTATTAGGTTATTTCATAGATATTTGGGCAGGTGATATATTTGCCCTGCTGTTCTACAGCTGGGTACTGCTATGACTATAGTGCAACTCTCTACTGGGTCCTTGGCACTGGGGAACACCCATGTACGTGTTTTTTTGCAGGACATTACCTGGTGAAACAGTGTGGTCCGGATCCACAAAAGCTTTGCGATCCTTGTCCAACTAGAAAATATCTCAACAAAACCAACTCCTCCTGTGTCCCATGCAGAACATGCTCAGGTGTGCCCCATCTCTCATGCCGTCTCACATGCTGCCTTGCTTGCTGTGCCCCCCCCCCCCACGGGCCCTCTGGCACTGCCCCCTCACTAATTCTCTGCCCGCCTGCCCTCCTCTGCATGTGTTCAGATCCGCAGCAGGTGGTAATGCATCGGTGCACAACCAGCAGCGACACAGTGTGCGGCTGCGAGAAAGGACACCACTGTGCCAATTCTGAGTGCTCCAAGTGCGCCCCCTGCGGGGAGGGGGAGGAACTCCTCCAGGATGGTATGCAGTTCTGATTGCTTCATTTTCATCTTAAGAGCTATCATAGATAGCTACATAATAAGTATTTGGTACACTTTTGGTACACTCTGCACTAGAATGACCCAAAATTTTTGTCACATATTCTGCATCTTTCTTGTCTTGCTGTCCCACCCTTGTGGGTAACCCTCTTAGCAGCATTCTGCTGATGAAGGGCAGTGAAATGTTTAATGCGTTGCATAAATCCTATTAGAATAAATCCTGTAATTGGAAACATAGCAGTTGCAACTTAATTAAACTGTTATTAACATCTTGTGAGACTGTGAATGGAAGGTGAAGGTGTTCTTTACATTATTTGGGTGTTATGTCATTCACAGTAAAAATATTACATTGGGGGACTGTTTAAGGTTTGTAGTTTTTGATTAAGGGGAGACAGCATCATACAATGGAGTATTCATTAGCAATAGTTTAAAGTTCCCTCCATTCACTTTCCAAAGCTGATAACAGATCATGCTGACTAGATGTCTGTCTTCTCTACAGGAAGTTGTCACAAATGCCCGTATGGGAAATTCAAAAATGAGTCACTTTCAAGCTGTCGTCCTTGGAGTAATAGGTGAGGTTGCCTCTAGACACCAACCCCAAAGCACTTCTCTCCAATTCGATCTTCTACAGTTGTGTGTGTGTGTATGTGTGTGTCAGCGGGTTTACCTATCCTTATGGGGACACAATGTCCCCATAACGTGATAAATATCCGTTTTTTTTTCCCTTATGGGGACCGGTTTCCTGGTCCCCATAAGGGAAAACTCTATTTTATAAAAATCGGTGACTGCTATGAAAAAACTAAAAATGCAAAATGTATTTTGTTAGGTTAATTATGGTTATGGTTAGGGCAGGGTAGGGGTTAAGGTTGTCATAGTTAGCATTAGCATTTTTCCCATTGAAATGAATGAGCAGTCCCCATAAGGATATGTTTACCCTACACGTGTGTGTGTGTGTGTGTGTGTGTGTGTGTGTGTGTGCTTTCCATCTGCTCCTTATTTTGAAACATTGCTATAGATAGAGGCTGCTAACCCAGGTGATGTCATTACACTGCCATTGCCTTTACCCTCTGAAGTAAAACAACTAGTGACAGAGGTTCATTGTTTCCTAGAAACTAATCATTTAAATACCATAGCAACTGTACTGGGAGTCTCCCAGAGCTCCGTTGCCAGCTACCTTACACTGTCTGCCCTCTGCCACTGCACAGCCACTGCACAACTGAACTTCACCTTTTAAGGCTGCCTTTCTTGACACCAGCCAATCCCTTTATTTCCTCAGCTGTCCTCAGCAGGGATGCTGGATCATGGTCAATGGCACTGCAGTCAGTGACAGCATTTGTCTCGCCTGCCCCAAAGGGATACAGTGTCACCCTGGTGAGATGTTTACTTTTACGTTTACACGTGTTTGTGCATTTGCACGTGTACATGTGTGTTACGTGTACATGTGTTTGAGTGTGGACCGCTGCTGACCCCTCTGGTTTGTCTCTCTTTTTCAGTACCACCAAAGAGTATGATGATCATCATTATAGTGGCGGTTGTTTTTTTCGGTCTGGGCCTACTGCCTTCCTGCTTTCTCATTGGGAAGTTACACATGTACAAGCAGGAAGAGAAACCACCAGGTAATCTTCATTTGAGCTATGCAGTCTGTGTCACTACATGTTTAGGCTAGACTTCTCTAATTGAAGGGCATCATACAAACATACTGAATTGAACTACCCCCCTTCCCCAAAGGCTCAGAGAACGAACCACAGACCCTCATATTTCGGCTTGGCCAGCCAGAACAGGAGCAAGGAGGAAGCATGGGCTCCGTCAGCTCTGACGACTCAGAGAAGAGTCTTCTGTCTGTGTGAGAAGAAGCTTCTGTCTTCAACATATGAGACTGGTATGAGACTGAAATTAGAAACTGTAAACTGGATGGAGTTAAATAAGAAAACTATTGAAGAGGCATGGGAATATTTTAAAAACACATTGTTGCAAGTGCAAGAGGACTTCATACCTGTTTCCACCAAAACTAAATCTGTGGAACTGCAAACAAGGTGGTTTACTATGGAAATTAAGAATAAAGTCAGGAGGAAAAGGGCTCTGTTTCACAAATGGAAAATAACTAATGATTTCAAAATAAAGCAGGAGTATTTAAGTCTACAGGTTGAGTTAAAAAATAATATTAGACTCGCTAAGAGGAATGTAGAAAGGAAGATTGCATTGGAGGCTAAGGATGACATTAAAAGTTTCTTTCAATACTTTAACTGCAAAAGAGCTCTAAAAGCTGAATTCATTAATTTGCAGGATAGAAAGGGCCTTATAATTGAAAATGAAATTGATATAATAAATGAGTTTAATGATTATTTTATATGGGTGTTCACAGTAGAGAACACAAGTAACCTACCACCATTTAGTACAAATACAGTGTCATCTATGACCAATATATGTATAACTGAGACTGATGTGGTACAAAGCCTAGCTAAGCTCAAAATAAATAAATCGCAGGGTCCTGATGGCATCTTACCTATAGTTTTAAAAGAGATGAGGGATATTATTAGCCAACCTTTACTATTTCAGAAATTGTTTTCTGCTGGTGTGGTACCTTCTGAACATAAAAACATAAGAAATTTACAAACGAGAGGAGGCCATTCGGCCCATCAATTGATTGGAAGCATGCTAATATAATGCCCATATTCAAAAAAGGGGATAGAAGTAATCCAGCAAACTATAGGCCAATCAGTTTAACTTGCATAACTGGGAAAAGTAATGGAAGCTATAATCCAAGTGAAAATGGTAGATTACCTGGATTCAAATAACATTCTGTGGGATAGCCAACATGGATTTAGGAGAGGTAGTTCCTGTTTGACTAATCTACTTGAGTTCTTTGAGGAAGCTACAAGAGAAATTGATCAGAAAAAGACCTACAATGTGATCTACTTAGATTTCTAGAAGGCCTTTTTCCCCACAAACAGCTCTTGTTTAAGCTCAAAGCTGCAGGGATTTTAGAATCTGTAGTACCTTGGATGGAAAGCTGGTTAACAGACAGGAAGAAGCGAATAGTTATTAGAGGCACAATGTCACAGTGGCCTGCGTTCATAGTGGGGCACCGCAGGGTTCAATTTTAGGACCACTATTGTTCCTAATTTACATTAATGATATTGACACCAATACATACAGTAAACTGGTTAAATTTGCAGATGACACCAAGGTGGGTGGTGTAGCAGATACTGATCTAGCAGCACAGAGGCTACAATGGGATCTTTATTTAATTAGCGACTGGGCTGATATCTGGCAGATAAAATTTAACGTAGATAAATGTAAGGTAATCCATGCAGGGAGCAGAAATATAAAGTACAGATATTTTATGGGTTCCACTGAAATAAAAGTAGCTGATTATGAGAAAGACCTCGTTGTGTATGTTGATGTTTCCATGTCCCACTCTCACCAGTGTGGGGAAGCAATTAAAAAGGCCAATAGGATGTTGGGTTACATGTCTGGGTGTGTGGAGTTTAGTCAAGGGAGGTGATGCTACGATTATACGATTCCTTGGTAAGACCCCACCTAGAATATTGTGTGCAGGTTTGGTCACTACCTTAAAGAGGACATTGCTGCCTTGGAAAAGGTTCAACGTAGGGCTACAAGAATGATTCCTGGTCTTAGAGGAATGTCTTGTGTTATGAGGTTAGCTGAACTGAATCTGTTTAGCCTCGAGCAAAGGAGACTAAGGGGGGACATGATCCAGGTATATAAGATTTTAACAGGTCTGGATGCTGTTCAGCCAAATGACTACTTTAATATTAGTTTAAATACTAGAACTTGTGGTCATAGGTGGAAATTAGCAGGAGAGCATTTTAAAATCGATATCAGAAAGCACTTCTTTACACAGCGTGTAGTTAGAGTATGGAATAGTCTTCCAGTTAGTGTAGCGCAAGCTAAAACCCTGGGTTCCTTTAAATCAGAGCTTGGTAAGATTTTAACAACTCTGAGCTATTAGTTAAGTTCTCCCCAAATGAGATTGATGGGCCGAATGGCTGCCTCTCGTTGGTAAATTTTTTATGTTCTTATGTAACATTTCTGGGAATTTTTAAAAATGAATTTACAATGACATATTTGTCTTAGAAATTTAGACATATAGTTTATTTTGTAAGAATTTACCGTCAAAGTCAAGAAGGTGGGTGGTGAGCAGTGGTCTTGGGCAAGTACTGCTGGTTTTACTGGGGGTGGGGGGAAAATAGCCGAGTGCCACATTCGTCTGCATGTGAGCGTACACCAGCCAAGTTGAAAACGACAGCAGTGGGCTAACGAGCGTGAAAAAAACCACACTGCAACTTACGTATGTCTGCCCCCAGACTAAACACACCCACTAAAGGCCGCGTCAATTAAGCATACGCCCAGGCATTCCTGTAATGGCAGTTATACATATGTAACTGCGCTGTGGTTGACTGACACCCGTGGGCGGAGCCGTGTGTGGGGTTAAGGGATTTCCTTCCTCAAACTACTGTAGAAAGGTAGCAAGAACAAACCGTTTGCCGCTGCAATGTCAGTAGGGCAGGCTGCCTGCATGAATGAATGTAATTAGCCACAAATGGGAGGGTTGTTTTTTTTTTATTTGTAATGCGTTCATGGAGTCCAGTCTATCCTACCTCAAGTTTAGATGTACGTCTTTTATTACCTGCTGAAACGATGCTCGACCGGTTGGTTGAAACAAAATCATGGTCTGGATTTGTACTTTCTGGACCTCTATCGATTTGCATGTGAACATGTTTAGTTTCTTGGCCTTATTGATTTTAGTGAAAATGGTTGATCGTTAGTCACTAGTATCTGACTCCAGTGATAAAAGATAAAGGCACATCAGTACAGGTGAAATACAGGAAGCGCAATTGAGGAACACATGGTGTAAGGAGAAGTGGGAAGATGGCGTTCACTCCGAGAGTGTTTCTGTTCTCTGTGGCAGCCTTACCATCCATCGCTGATCACAGACCATGAACTAATCATATAATAATAAGCTTTATTGCAGTTGGCAGCACTATCATTTACAAAGGACTTAAAAATAAGCCTCTTCTGCTAAAAAAAAAAACCTAAAAACACACGTGCAGGTTGGTAACATGCTGGAGGCTGCGTGGAGATAAGAGCGCTCTCTCCACGAAGGAGTAGAAGCTATATTTTATGGATCAGCAAACAGTAATAAAGCATCCATATGAGTTTATAGTCGGGGGAGGAGGGGGTAAGTGTACTTTGCGGGAAATTCCATTGTTGGAGCTGAGCTTTGTACAGCAAAGGTGGGGAACCTTTTTCCTATCAAGGGTCATTTCAATTGTTATAACATCTTTGCCATACTAAACGGGGGGCAGCATGCGGTTCAGTGGGCTGAGCCTCTGTGCCTGTCATCAGCAGATTGGCAGCTCAAGCCCAGCTTCCGCAGAATAGTCACATCTGTGGGCCATTAAGCAAGGTCCTTAACCCCCCAGCTCCGTGATGCCGCTGCAGGTGGCTGCCCTTCACTCCCAAGCTTATTCCCACCTTTATATGTGTCTATGGGTCATGGGGTAGGCAAACAGATCATTTCCCCTTAGGGATAAATAAAGTGTCATTATTATTAAATAATTCAACACATCACACTTATCTTGCTCAATATATTTCCTGATACTGTATCAATTCTCAAAAACATCGTATCAATTTTTGTTTGCATGCAGACTGGTTAATTGTGTATCTTTAAAACCTTATTGTTGTAGATAATCTTCTTGTGCTCTTTTTTTCTGCCATTTGAGTCTTATACTCAAATGTAACAACATACACTGAGACAGGAAGTAGCATTATTATCAGCAAACCAAGTTAACTACTAAAATGACTGATGTCTGACTTCAGAAGTTAGGCCACTTCCACGCCGCACAGAGCTCACTTTGGCAAGCACTTTTGTCTACTTTTTTTACTTGTATAGGCAAATGTTAATTCCTTTGAAATTCTTTATATTTTCTTTAGTCACATGAAAAAAAGTAATTGCTTTTTAGAGTTTTATATATATATAAATATATATGTCTGTCTGTGTGTGAGTGTATATACAGTGTGTGTATGTATATATATATATGTATATTGTGTATATATATATATGTATGTATGTGTATATATATGTATATATATGTAGATATATATATATATATGTATGTGTATGTATATATATATATGTAGATATATATATATGTGTATATTTTAGTTGATTTTTTATGCTGAATGTTCTCTAGCCATTGTATAGTTTTGTAACTTAAAATTATTTGATTATGATTTTCTTTTCCATGAAATCTGTATGTGTGATGTTAGAGAAAAATTAAACAACTGTCATGGCTGAAAGTTCTGTATACGTGTATGTAGTCATCACATGAGCCAAAACCTGCACTTGGAAGACGTGTTGCGATTGGTTGATAAAATCTGACGCCAGTAAAGATGGTTTCAATTAATGGCTTATCGTTGGGGTTGGGATTCCATGAGGGTTGGAGACTGACTGATGGCTGCTGGAGGGTTTGGGTATCAAATGAAGACGGCAATTTAAAGAGAGACCGTTAATCACATTGTATTTTGACCTAATAGTTTTGTCTGGTCTGTTCTTCTGGTGAAGGTGGTAGTTTATCTGGAGTCAAACTTGGGTCACCTTTTCAACTCACTGAGGAATAAATGCATTTTCAAAATGACTGATCACAATCGACCCTCCCCCAGGGAAGTGGGCTGGGTGCATTGTGACCGCTGACTAAGTGTTTCCTGTATGTGTATCACTTGAATGACATTTTTGCATTTTTTTTTACTTGCTCACTTGGCAGAAAAAAAAGCTGCTTATTACTACTGACATAGCCCAGAGACGGGCACGATCAAGAGCGTGAAAACTTACAGGAAAGACTGACAGGGAAATGCTAGTGTGGGGCAAACTGACATCAAAATGACTGACTCAGACGTAAACATCACAGAGACGACCAAAATCCCCAATCAACCAACCTAGCAATGTCAAAAAATCCAGCACTGTAAATACGTAAATTCCCCATTGGGAATTTATGGTGTTTAATTAGTCTCAAAACTCGCGCACATAAAAACCGCGTGCGCATACAAAACAGAAAAGCCTCTCTATGCGCTCGCGCCTGCACACTTCTTGCTCATTCGACGGGTTGAATGTTCAGACTTTAGGGGCGTGAA